CCCCGCTTGACCTTTCGGTGCTTGAGGGGTCGGGGGAGCAGGCGGCGCCCCAGCGCGGCCCGTCGACCATTGCTGTGCCAGTGGACTTCAGCCAGTTTGAGAAGGAGTTTGCGGCTAAGGCTAAGATAACGGAAAGTGCCAGGAAAGTAGAGGGAGCAGCAGTCGGAGGAGGGGCGGGAGGGGGGGGAGGGGTGGCAGGGGTGGCAGGGGCGGTGGCAGGAGTGGCAGGGGTTCAGGGGGGAGAGATGGGGAGTGGGAGCAAGGGGCAAGGGAAGGCAAAGGGGGGTGAGAGAGGGCAGGCAGAGAGTGGGAGGGCAGCAGCTGGTGTAGGACCAACCATGGCAGATCTAGAATGGGCGGCTCTGGGCGGCAACTAGCCGATGTGGGTGGCAATTGGCTTCTGGTATTCCCGTCTTGCTCACTTGGTTTATGGGACAGCATCTTGGTACCGTACTATGACATGACATGGCACGGTGTCGTTGCCAACTTACCAGTACAGGATGAGATTCCTGTATGTATGAATGACAATCACTTCCACCCTAGTAATATGTCTGAGAAGAAACGGAATTTGTAGTACAGCAAGCGAGGGCTTTGAGGGCTTGGTTGTGCCAAATATGAACCTTATCTTGATGGAAAGAAGAATGTTCTAACCACGGTTTGGCAAGTGTATTTCGTGTAAGGAATTACGATTCATTATTGGGGCTCGCCACAGGGAGTACACGCGAACCTCTCGGTTCCGCAGGCTTGGCGCTTGGTTCTCGCGCCAATCCAGCCCCCGTTGACCTTTTCGGCCCCAACCTGATCTCGAGCCGCCCCGAACCCATTTTGACCCCGTCACCCTCGGGACTGTCAAGCGCTTGACTGGTCCAATCATCGACATTTAACCCTGGTCAACTCGCACTATATAAGCCCTAGGCCTCATTCCTATGGACATTATGTAATCACGTTCCCCTATAGTATTATGCGCTTTACTCTGAGCTATAATTCATAACAGCTGGTATCAGAGCTACGCTCCTGCGCATTAGGCTTCCGGTACGGGAGAAGACCCTATCGGGGAAGGGGCGGAAGGATGCTGATGGCGAGCGGACGTTGCGGAAATTAATTGCGCGGGCGTTGCTGATGCCGTCAGATCCTGTCCAATGGACGGCTGGGATTGGCCGGTCCTCCCCTTCTCTAGTCGTAGTCGGAATTATTTCCCGTCGAAGAGTGGGCGACATTTTTGCCGTGTTTTTCGGGTATGCTCGTTAGAGCTTTCGGAAATTTCGGGTGTTCGGACGGAGTCTTCGGATTGGCTTCCGAAAAAAGCGAAGGCTTTGTCATGAGGAGACAAGTGCACGGGAGTCCTCAGGTGGCCAGGAGTTGGTCGTTAGGCGCGCGCGGGATGGCAAAAATGGCGGGATGTACGGCGATGTACGTTTGGCACGCGATGCAGCGGCAGGGTGAACTGTAGCTGTGTCGCGGGTCCCAGCGTTTCCGACAGGCTAGTAGTAGGCGATGGACGGGACTTCAACACTATTTCGACAATGAGCGGTTCTGACAATTTCGGAACGACACGATCGCACAAGGACGTGTGGGTGCGCAGTTGTGTAGAAGGAGCTGAGATTAACGACCTCGGCACAATTCACCACGACGGCCATCTGGAGGAGATGACGGTGTGCTGGAGTGAGTGTACTTAGTGAGGGCGACTTCCCGCGAGGGGAGGCGTTTTTCGTGGACCAACGATTCATACCCCCACGATGAACGGAAACGGAGGCCACCATCTCAGGGTGTGTATTAAGTGTTTTTCCACCGGTCGCCGAATGCGTTAACTGCCAGGAGTTGAAGCAGTGGGAGAAGAACGACGGGAGCACTGGAGCAAATGGGTTGGCGGCGTTCGGGCTGCTACTCGCTCAGCTACGTCGCTCGGAAATCACCATTCCCACCAGGTAGCAGTGTCGACTTATTAATCGACAGCTTTTGGCTGAATAAGGGGGGTGAACTTGCAAACTACACTGTGCTGATGGAGTGTCCACGAAATTTTAAGAGTTACTGTTGCAGTGGAGCTGAGGGTTTTCAACTGGTGCAGCAGGAGGAGGTTCCGACTTTTGCGGGTGCATTTTGACGAGTTTCTGATGGAGGGGGGAGCTGTCCAGCGATCAGTAGGCGAGCTCGTTAAAGCTCCTCTGACTAGAAGCGTGCGCACCCCTATCTCTGTGGATTCTCCTAGTTAGTTAAGCAGCAGCGAAGCGGTTTTGGGTAACCTGAAGCAGCCGTGAGATAGGTGAACGTCTGCACGGCCAGCTGGACAAGGGTAACATAGTATTTTAGAGTTGGGTAACAGCTGGGCGAAAATCGACGGCGGATGATGCGCGTTGACCCCGATCGATGGCCAAAACATAATGCCTAGGCGGTGAACTCCGGTGTTTCCTAACATAAAGGGTGCCTTTCATGCGTACAGCTGGTGGAGAAACCGTGGGGGCGCTGCTAAAGGACGCCGTAATGCCTGCGTGTTTTACGGGTAGCTATGAAGCGGAGTTACGGTATTTGCTAAATACCGAGTGGTTCCGACATTTTCGGAGCAGTTCAAGAGTTTACAGCTGGAGTTGTGCCCGCTATCTTCAAGATGTACGAGCCACATCGATCGACATTTGCGGAGTGTTTTGGTTGTATGGATCGGAGGGAGAGCAGCAGCTGTTTCGGTACTTCTCGATTTTTTCGGCGTGTTCGGACAAAGTAGCTGATGCAGCTGGCGGCATTAGACCCCGAGTTCGGTTCGAGGATTTCAACTGGAGTGATTCAGTACAGGTTACATGTCATCGCCATCGTCGCCTTCCTCTCGTCACTACTCGCTACCGCCTCCATCGTCAATTCGCGTGCTTCGCAAGACAGTGTGAACACGAGCTCGCCTCGCCATCCGAATCAAAAACAACATTATCGGATTTACAGAGAAATTGGGAGCCGTACTGTGGAGCTGTGTTGGGGCCAGCTCGCAAGCAGTATTTGACTTCTGAAGATTTTTGAGTTCATATGGGAGTCTTCTAAAGAAGTTACTTCTGATTTTCAAGACCTTTGGAGCGGTTTACCCTGCAGGAGTATCACATTTGGAATATATTTGGGATTCATCGCGCTTGGAGTTAAGGAGCGGACTCTTTGAAGCTGCGTTTGACGGGATTTTCGGCAGCAGTATGGGTATTTTTGGTTTCCTGGAGCATTGGGTTTCCTGGAGTTATACTTGGGTGGTTGGGAGCTGTTTCTTCTTGGAGGGAGGAGAAGTGCAGCTGTGCTAGATTTTTTCGTCAAACCTTGCGGCGTGTTCCATCATCCGTCTTCGAGCATCATTCGTCACTTTTACGCTTCCGCGCCTGATTTCGTCACTTCGTTGATGGAGTTCGCCGACTTTCGTGGGACACGAACGTGTGCTGTCGCATGTGACACGAACGACCTCGCGTTTGATGAATGGGTTCTTCATTTCATCGACCATCACGTTATTCGCCAGTCGTCATTTCAAAATATTCATCTGCCACGCGCCATCATCAATCGACCATTCGACAAGGTTTTCACTGTTCATTGTCTTCCGCTGGAGTATTTACCCTTGCCCGTTTGGCCAGTTGAAGATTTCGACATCTTCAACGACTCTGATTGATTACGATCGTTGCGACTTGTCTCAGCCGTTGGATGAAGTTTTACATCATGAAGTCTCGTCATAATTACGCTAATCAAGATTCAACGATCGGGATCTACCGCGATCGTTTCGACGCTTTTTGACCAACGATTTCAATTCGACCTCAAGACCTTGTCAGGCCAGCGTAATCATTACGCTCGTCGCAGGGCTGAAGACTTACTGTCACATCGGGGATTACTTGTAATGACCGTTCGGCCTCGATAGAGGGAGTGCCTTCCTTTAGAAGGAGGGAGAGTGTAAGGAATTACGATTCCTTACTGGGGCTTGCCACAACAAGTACACGCGAACCTCTCAGTTCCGCAGGCTCGGCCCTTGGTTCTCGCGCCAAAGCAACCCCCGTCGACCTTTTCGACCCCAACCTGATCCGAGTCGCCTCGAACCCATTTTGACCCCGTCACCCTCGGGACTGTCGAGCCCTTGACTGGTCCAAACCTCGACATTCAACCCTGGTCAACTCGCACTATATAAGCCATAGGCCTCATTTCTATCGACATTCTGTAATCACTTTCCCCCATAGTGTTCTGCGCTATACTCTGAGTTATAATTCATAGCATTTCCTCTTTTCCTCAACAGCTAGGAACGACAATTTGTGTGCGGTCCGACTTTCCAAAGATTTGCGAACATTTCATGGCAATGTCACTGGTACCGAACCGCGGGGAGGGGAACCTTTTGTTCGTGACACGGAAATATCCACCAGATTCCACCCAACCCAACCCGAGCACACCAAGTTTACAAAATCTTCCGAGGCGGGGGGGTTGGTCGACAGGCGAGCTCGCATATTTGCTAAGGGCGTGTCACAAAATCGAGAACCCGTTTCTAACACGTGGAGTCGTTTGAAGGTAAGCATTATGAATCGATTTTGAAACCGATCCCGCTTTGGGAACAAGTCCGAAATGCAGGGTGTGGTTCGGAAGGACAGCACAAAGACCAGCACAGACATAGAGGCGGGTCACGGAATCCCGCGATGCGAAAGCAGCGCAACAAGGGCGTATAACAAGAAAGGGGCCAGTCGGCGCAGGGGGGGAAGTTTGTTCGCTAGCGACGTGCAAGGCTGCAAAGTTTCGCGCACAAATTTCGCTACAGGTGGTGCTGGTATTGGTTGGCGAATGGGATTTTTGTGCGGTCCATTTTTGTCCTGTGGAGGTACCTGGAAACGTTGGAATGGTGTCCGCTAATTTTGGGTAAGAGCTGGGCGGGTCTTATTCGGGCGTGTTTTATGGTTACACACCAGAAATCGGTAACTGAGCACGGTGTTGATTGGGGAACAAACATTAGTGATACGCCCTTAGCCTTTAGGACGCGACACTCGGTTGCAGTTTCCCAGGACATATTAGAATCAGAAAGCCCACTCAAGAACGCGTTACACAGTGCCTTTATTCCTTAGTGCACAGTTTGTGGCCTAATAACCATGCATCTCCCCGAGACGGCGAGCGTTGAAAAGCTCCAGAAGGCATTTCCTAGGTCGGAAAGTTCCGCCGCTTCGGGGGGACTCCTTCTTGGGCACATTGTCGTCGAGACAATTTTCGGACACATTTTGGACGACGTATTTCTACGATGCGGGGGAAAAAACCGGATGATCAGACGGCGGAAGAACACGCGTATAGCCTTGCCGCCGCGTCGCATGAACGACTAGTACTTATTTCGGTTTGCCGTTGCCGGTGCTGCCAGTGCTGCCGGTGGTGCCGGTGGTGCCGGTGGTGCCGGTGGTGCCGGTGGTGCCGGTGGTGCCGGTGGTGCCGGTGGTGCCGGTGGTGCCGGTGGTGCCGGTGGTGCCGGTGGTGCCGGTGGTGCCGGTGGTGCCTGTGTTGCTGGTGGTGCCGGTGGTGCCGGTGGTGCCGGTGTTGCTGGTGGTGCCGGTAGTGCCGGTGTTGCCGGTGGTGCCGGTGGTGCTGGTGTTGCCGGTGGTGCCCGTGTTGCCGGTGTTGCCGGTGGTGCCGGTGGTGCCGGTGGTGCCGGTGGTGCCAGTGTTGCCCTTGCCGTTGCCGTTGCCGTTGCCGTTGCCGTTATTCCAGTTGACGGAGTGCGCCTTGTCGTACGCCGCGGATTCCACGTCCGCCTGATCCGCAGCTGCTTTGAGCGAATCAGAACGCGCCTTGGCCTGATTGAACTTGGTCTCGGCCGCCGCGCGAATGCTGGCGGCCACCCCAAGCGGGGCCTTGTTGTCTTTCGTCACCTTCGCCGCGGCTGTCGTCTTCACCTGAACGTCGGCCATGAGCGTCTTGATCGCATTCGGAAGCGTCTTCGTGTCGCCCACGTATTTGTAGTACACCCCCTCCGCATCCTTCGCGTCCTTCTTCGCCTTGTTCAGGTCAACGTTGTGCGCGTCCGCGGCGATCCTCGTGTCGATCTTGTCCTTCCGCGCGGTGGCCAGATCGTACTGCATCGCCTCCAGGGCATCCTTCGCGAGCGCGGCCTGCCTCTTAAGCGCGCCCAGGATACGATTCGCCTGCGCGCGGATCGCCTGCGCTTCGACGGCCGCCGCCTGCGCCTCGGGCGTCTTGAGCTTCGCGGCGCGGCGCGCGTAGTAGGTGGAATCGGCGGTGGCCTCCTTGGCGATGAGGGTCTGTTCGGCAACGAGCTCGTTAGCCGAGTCCAGTTGCTGCTGCGTGGGGACGATGTCCAGCTCCAACGCCTCCGTGTCTGCGATCGACTCCGCAGCTTGCTGCTCGAGCTCGTCATGGTAGTCCTGCTCCGTCTGTAGTGCGCTCCTGAACTTGATCATTTCCTGACGCGCTTTCTCCGCCTTGGTCCTCGCGTCGTCCAGCTGCTTCTTGGTATTCGCGAGATTCGTCTGGGAGGTTACCAGAGCGGCGTTCGCGTCGTCGATGAGCTTCTGGATCGCCTGCTCCGCCTTGAGCTTGGTGTTGTATTCCGCCAGCGCGGCGTTCGTCACCGCTTCCGCGTCGTTAGCGGTCTTTCGGGCTGCCGCGGCCTTGATGGCCATGTAAGACTGGGCGTTCACATCCGAGAAGTTTGCCGCGACCAGAGCAGATACAAGAACCAGCGCGACGATCGGAACGTGAAATCGAGGCATGGCTAGGGAGGGGCACGGGGTATGCTTGGTGATTGCTTAGAAGCGAGGGCAGCACGTTTGCTAATGTGTGAAGTAGATGACGGCCTTGGCTGAACTCGCTAGTGTTGCTTGAAGTGAGGTTGAGATGAATGTGCTAGGGACGGGTAATATATATGTGCTAGGGTTGAGTGTTTTGGGTTGGGTTGGGTTGGGTTGGTTTGGGTGCGTTGACACCGTGCCATGTGCACTTTCTTTCCCCCACTGCTCGCCGCCATGCCTGCCGGGATGTCTCCTCAATTTCCACATTCCTTTGCAAAGTTGACATCTTACGCGGCTCGCAGTTGCGCGCTTCGGCTTGAAGTGTGACGAATGCCATCGCGACTTGCTTGCATGGGCTGGCTTGCTCGCATGAGGTGAGTTGCTTGCTTGAGCCAGTCTCTTGATCCCGAGGGAGTATTCAAAGCCGCGCGTTCTGATGCCATCTTGGCACTTGGCGTCGAGACTACTTTTTCGGCCAGGAAGAACAAACATGTCCAGGATGAGCAAAGAGCATTTGGAAGAAATAAACGGTTTGTTCGTTTGTTTTTTTAAGCACGCCCTCGTCTCGAGGGGTTCTGGTGGTTGGGACACCAGCGCCCGAGCTTGTCGTTGCAGGAGCCCACCCTTGACAGTGGAGCACGTGGCAGGGTGAAGGTGTTGCCAAAATGGTCTGAGGGAAAGAATATGGTTAGCGACATACTACACCAGCCACGCCACCCCGTAACACCGAGCACATATGGTACTAGCAAATAACAAACTTATAATCTTGAAATGGTGCCAAAAACTTTAAACAAGCACCATACTTGGTTGTATGGTACAACGAGCAAAACCATATGTTTACCAGGATAATACCACCCTTGTTTTGTTTCGAGCACACCAATTTTTTACTGTGCCCTCCAAAAAAATCTCCACGTTCTAACGATGACTCTCCTCAGGCGAGGGCAAGAAGGGAGACACCATCATATTCACGAGTGCACCCACTCATTACCTCATTTATGAGGCGAAAACCGTGGCATGCACACAAGACGCAACAGCTGTTTATACGTTAATGTGCGTTTCAACAATTATTTCAGCATGGGACGCAGTCTAAGTTTGTGCGGCCGTGATGCAATAACCTCCTCTAAAGCGATCCTCCGAACTGTGTGGAAGTCAATGTCTGCATAGAGGCCCCTGTAAGAAACACCGATTGAAAGCACCAGCAGCAGCAACAGGAAGATGTTGAAACACTGTTATGTGCTTTGAGAACCATATGGCCGGGTGTAACTAGGCAAAACCTGTGGCGTGTGAAACGTGATGTGTCAGTTGGCCAGGTGTATCTGGCATAACCTGGCAAAACCATATTGGCGTGTGGTGCGCCGAACGTGGGGCGTATGGTGCGTGGAAAGTGGGGTGTGTGGTGCGCGGAAAATGGGGCGTGTGTTGTCTGCCAAGAGAAAGCAACAAGAGTGTCACCAGGAGAGTGGGAAGAAAGAGAAGGGCGCACCAGTAATGGTGCGTGGGCCAGGAAGTAGCTGAAAAAGTATGGCTCTATAACTATGAGGACGCGGGAAGTCAGGAGAGAACTCACCAGTAGTGGTGCTTGAACGAGGGGAGATGCTGGGAGAAAGTGGAGAGCTCACCCGAAGTGACGGGGGAAGGAGGAGAGCTCACCAGAAATGGTGCTTGGACCATGTACATGTGGGGAAGGCAGGGCTCGTAAGGCCATGAAGAATGCGGGCGATGGCACGGGCGTTGACAGGTGGCGCATCGGGATTGGCTTGCTGGCAGCGCAGGAACACCTGGATTGGAGGCAAGAGAGGGGCGGGTGGACGACGTGTGGGTGTATATGTGCAGGCGTGTGCGTGCGCATGTGAGCATGCATACATGTGCATGTGTGTGTGTGCATGCATATATTCACATGTGGGTGTGCATGCTTGTGTGTGCATGCGTGTGTTGTGCGCCATGATCCGTGTGTGGCCGAACGAACATTGCTAGCATGATGTTAGCAATGGGATCCCCATGTGTTAGCCCGATGCATCATGCCTTAAAGCCACATACCTTGATGCCAAACTCAGAAATACCCCCACTTTATGTCACCCTCCTTTATATTTCTCGATTTTATCCCACTCACCTTTATATTACTCAATTATATTCCACTCACCTTTATGTCGCTACGAAGAAATTGGCTAACGAGAGGCGATCCCAAATGATGCCGTTGACAAGCCCAGTTGTGCATGCATACCCAAGGGGAAACATAAAAAGCGGCATGCGTTTTCGTAGTCCATTGCACAGTCGAAACATAAAAAAAGACAACAAAGCGGGAGCATGTCAGATGGCCGAGCAGCGACAATCTCAGGGCTGCGTTCTCTGCACTGATTCCAGTGACGCCTTGACAAAATATTTTTGAGGCGCCTAAAAAAAATGAAAATCTCAGGGCTGCGTTCTCTGCACTGATTCCAGGGATGCCTTGACAAAATATTTTTGAGGCGCCTAAAAAAACAAACAATCTCAGGGCTGCGTTCTTTGCACTGATTCCAGTGATGCCTTGACAAAATATTTTTGAGGCGCCTAAAAAAAAAAACAATCTCAGGGCTGCGTTCTCTGCACTGATTCCAGTGATGCCTTGACAAATATTTCGAGGCGCCTAAAAAAAAAAACAATCTCAGGGCTGCGTTCTCTGCACTGATTCCAGTGATGCCTTGACAAAATATTTTTGAGGCGCCTAAAAAAAAAGGCAATCTCAGGACTGCGTTCTCTGCACTGATTCCAGTGACGCCTTGACAAAATATTTTTGAGGCGCCTACAAAAAAAAAACAATCTCAGGGCTGCGTTCTCTGCACTGATTCCAGTGACGCCTTGACAAAATATTTTTGAGGCGCCTAAAAAAAAAACAATCTCAGGGCTGCGTTCTCTGCACTGATTCCAGTGATGCCTTGACAAAATATTTTTGAGGCGCCTTAAAAAAAAAAACAATCTCAGGGCTGCGTTCTATGCACTGATTCCAGTGATGCCTTGACAAAATATTTTTGAGGCGCCTAAAAAAAAAAAACAATCTCAGGGCTGCGTTCTCTGCACTGATTCCAGTGAGGCCTTGACAAAATATGCTGGCAAGTGCTTGCTTTGGTACAGGAGGGTACATGAAGAACATCTTATACTTTGTGTGAGGATATGCAATGCAAGTGCATGCATGCGTGTGTGTGTCGGTCGCACATGTGGACTTGAGCATGCATGTGTGCATGCTTGTGTGCATGCTTGTGGAGGCGAGTGTGCATATGTATGCACATGAGTGTGTGCATGTATATGTGTGCATGTGTGTGTGCATGCATGTGTGTGCATGTGTGTGCATGTGTGTGCATATGTGTGCATGCATGTGTGTGCATGCATATGTGTGCATGCATATGTGTGCATGTGTATATGTGCGTGTGTATGTGCATGCGTATGCGTGCATGTGTATGTGAGTGCATATGCGTGCATGTGTGTGTGCATGTGTCTGTGCATGCATGTGAAGGGCTCACCTTCCCACCAAAATCTCACCTGGCAGTGGGCACAGTAGCAGGAGCAGCAAGCAGCGAGGGTACAGTGCCATCCCTGGAGTCAAAGTATGCTGAGATGCAGCCATGCAGGAGGGCTGTCTGCCGCCCAGACAGTGACTTGTGCCAGTCAGAAGCGAGAGGGGGAGCCATGGTGTCTGCAGCTGGCGATTCGGCTGGCACTTGCGCCGCAGCTAGTACCACAGAATACATGGCGTCAAGCTTAGCAACCTGGAGAGAAGTGAGGTGTGTGAGGGTGGGTGGGTGGGTGTGTCTGCTTTAAAGTCGACCCAGAAGCAACTGCCAGAGTACATGGCACCAAGCTTCGCAACCTAGAGGGAAGTGGGTGTGTGAGGGTAGATGTGTCTGTGAGGGCAGGTGTGTGAGGGCAGGTGTGTGAGGGCAGGTTTGTGAGGGCAGGTGTGTGAGGGCAGGTGTGTGAGGGCAGGTGTGTGAGGTCTGTTTATAAGTCGACCCAGAAACAACTGCTACAGAATACACAGCATCAAGCTTAGCAACCTGGAGAGGAGAGGGGGGGTGCATGCGGGTGGGTGGGTGGGAGTGTGCGGGTGCGTGGGTTTGTGTGATTGTGTCGGTGTGTCTGTGTGTGCATGCGTGCAGATCCAACAAATGCAACTCTCAGTGGGTACCACAAATTCGATCAGCAGCAGTGCAACTCAACAGTAGATTTACAGATACCATACATTGACTTCTCCACAGTTGACTCACAGTTGACTTCTCCACTGCGGCGAGCCGCTGGCAGATGGCCGCTGCGAGGGAGGAAAGACTCCTGGGGCGAGATAGGAGCTGCACGCACAGGGAAGGTTCCTGGAACTCGCATACGATCTCCCCACACCTCTGCAAGAAATGTGACAAGAGAGGAAGGGAGGCGGGAGAAGTAAATGGTGGTGAGGAGAAAGAAAGAGGGGGATGGGGGCCCTAGGAAGGATGGCTGGGGGCTTTGAAAGAAAGAGGGGGTGGGGGCCCTCTAGAAGCCATCTTTTACCCTCAGATGGCCATCAAGGTGACTTTTGAGTCGACTCAAAAGTCACCTGATGGTCACCTGATGGTCATCAGCAACCCAGAAAAACCCATCTCATGCATTGAAAGGCGGCAGCACTTGCTGCAGCAATTGCGTGTGAAACACACCTGCTGGTATCACAAGGCAGCAAGGAACATGGGCAGGACTGGGGCATGCACATGGAACCCAGTCATGTGATCGCCAGCGATTTTGGAGAATTCAAGGAATCCAGTCATGTGATCGCCAGCGATTCTGGAGAATGCTGCGGTGGGTACGACTGCTGCTGCTGCTGCTGCTGCTGCTGCTGGGACTGCTGCACTGGAGCTCGCGATTCAAGGAATTCAAGGAATCCAGTCGTTTGGTGGTTTGTGCCGTCTCAAAACGAAATTACTCTCACTCGGATTCTCAGCAATGAAACCATTTTTGAGGCGCCTCAAAAACCCAGTCAGATGGTGGTTCATTGCAGGCGCTTTACCAAATTACCACTTATGAGTCGACTCAAAAGCTTTACCACTTATGCTTTGATGTGGCTAGAACACACCCTGCCGGTCCCTCATGCACGCGAGCAGCATGGGCAGCGGCATGCGCATGCGATTGTGTGATTGGTTAGCAGGGAGAGCAGCGCTCACATGTTTGAATCTCATTGGAACACACCTGCAGGTCTCTCAAGCACGCGAGCAGCATAGGCAGCGGCATGCGCATGTGATTGTGTGATTGGTTAGCAGGGAGAGCAGCGCTCACATGTTTGAATCTCATTGGAACACACCTGCAGGTCTCTCAAGCACGCGAGCAGCATGGGCAGCGGCATGCGCATGTGATTGTGTGATTGGTTAGCAGGGAGAGCAGCGCTCACATGTTTGAATATCATTGGAACACACCTGCAGGTCCCTCAAGCACGCGAGCAGCATGGGCAGCGGCATGCGCATGTGATTGGCCATCGGTGCCAGCTGAACTGTGTACCGGCCGTTGCGGGGGGTGGGGTTGGTCCTGAGGGAAGGTTGTGGAGAGAGGCAGCGGATACAGATGGGAGGTGAATGTGAGGGCACTGGCAGCACAGCAACATGCACGTGTGATTGGCCAGGTGAACTGTGTGTCGGCCGTTGTGGGGGGTGGGATTGGTCCTGAAGGAAGGTTGCGGAGAGAGGCAGGAGATAGAAATGGGAGGTGAATGTGAGGGCACTGGCAGCACAGCAACTTGCACGTGTGATTGGCCAGCTGAACTGTGTACCGCCGGTTGCGGGGGCTGGGGGCTGGGGGCTGGGGGCTGGGGTTAGCGCTGAAGCCAGCGCAGTGGTGAGAGTGGCAGGTGGACGGATGGAGAAGGAGGGCATGTGGAAGCAAAAGCAATGCTTTTGAGTCGACTCAAGAGCAAGAGCAAGAGCAAGAGCAAGAGCAAGAGCAAGAGCAAGAGCAAGAGCCAGAGCAAGAGCAAGAGCAGGAGCAAGAGCAAGAGCAAGGATAGATTTCCAATACGGTTACGATATCCCTGGAAGGAGGGCATGTGGAAGGAGGGCATGTGGAAGGAGGGCATGTGGAAGGAGGGCATGTGGAAGGAGGGCAAGTGGAAGGAGGGCATGTGGAAGGAGGGCATGTGGAAAGAGGGCATGTGGAAGGAGGGCATGTGGAAGGAGGGCATGTGGAAGGAGGGCATGTGGAAGGAGGGCATGTGGAAGGAGGGCATGTGGAAAGAGGGCATGTGGAAGGAGGGCATGTGGAAGGAGGGCATGTGGAAGGAGGGCATGTGGAAGGAGGGCATGTGGAAGGAGGGCATGTGGAAGGAGGGCATGTGGAAGGAGGGCATGTGGAAGGAGGGCATGTGGAAGGAGGGCATGTGGAAAAGGAGGGCATGTGGACAATGCAACTTGACTCACGCAAGAACGGCCTTCACAAGAGGAACCTTCCTGGACAGAATCTCCACTGGAGTCTGCCATGGGAGCAAGGAAGGAATGGGATGGGAATCAGATACAAGGCATTGGGCATTTGTAATGTGCGTTGGGCATTTGTAACGTGCATTGGGCATTTGTAATGTGCATTGGGCATTTGTAATGTGCATTGGGCATTTGTAATGTGCATTGGGCATTTGTAATGTGCATTGGGCATTTGTAATGTGCATTGGGCATTTGTAATGTGCAATGGGCATTAGGACGCGCAGCACAAGGTGGGCAGCACAAGGTGAACACAACGCGACCAGCCAATTTTCAAGAAACAGTACCTTGTGGAAGGAAAGCAGGCAAGAAGCGGGGGCCTCGGGCATCATTCGCAAGTAAGCAGCAGCTGCAGGGAGGCCGGGTGATGGCGGTGGTGGTGGTGGTGGTGGTGGTGGTGGTGGTGGTTGTGTTACTGATGTTAGAGGGTTGGGAAGTGAGGGGGAGGGTGATGGATGGACTGGCACTGATAGCGTTTGCGTGGAGTCGGTTATCGGCGATGGGTCGGAGGGCAAAGGAACTGATGCGTTTTGGGCCGAGTCAGCAATAGGTGATGGACCAGAGGGTTCCAACTGAGAAGCAGGTGTTGGCACTAATGGGTTTGGGGTTGAGTCAGCAACGAGCGATGGACCCGAGGGCTCTGGTACTGCTGGGTCGGAAGGCAGAGAGGCAGGGGTTGACTCGCAGAACACAAGTATAGTTTCCATGACCTGGGGGAGAGCGGGGGAGAGTGGGCGGAGAGGGGGAGAGGGCGGAGAGGGGGAGAGGGAGGAGAGGGGGAAAGTGGGCGGAGTGGGGGAGAGGGAGGAGAGGGGGAAAGTGGGCGGAGTGGGGGAGAGGGAGGAGAGGGGGAAAGTGGGCGGAGTGGGGGAGAGGGAGGAGAGGGGGAAAGTGGGCGGAGTGGGGGAGAGGGAGGAGAGGGGGAGAGTGGATGGAGAGGGGAGAGACAGAGAGGGAGCAGGGTTGAAAGGCACTCGTGCTGATAGGTTGGAAGGCAGAGAGGCAGGGGTTGACTCGCAAAACACAAGAATAGTTTCCAGGACCTGGGGGGGAGATGCAGGGACAGAGCGAGAGCAAGGAGGGGGGAAGTGGGCGAGAGTGAGTGTAGAGGGAGAGCAGGAGCGAGAGAGGGGGGGGACGGGAGGAGAGGGGGTGAAAGGAGCGGAGGAGAATGGGAAGAGAAGAGGATACCAATTGGGTGTTGAAACAGAAGGAAGCGGTAAATGCTGTGAGGTGAAGTACAAAAGGATATGCTATAATGGTATGAGGGGAGAGGTAGACGCGAAATGATGGCCGCCTCCGACCATTATAGCTGACAGGGACGCTTCAAAGCAGTTGAACTCAGCTTTACTGTGGCTAGGTTTTTTAGAATTCTCAAAAGCTTAACACAGCCTAGCTTTGAAGCAGTTGAACCCTGCTTTATCGTGGCTAGAATCGGCCAACAGTCCAGCTGCGATCAAGAAACTCACCACTTACAATTGAAACTCCCAGCTACTTGCTGTCCCTCTTAAGACCAGCTGAAGTTCCCAGCTGCTCACAGCACACGAGGGAACTTGTTTCTCCCTCCCTTCCTCACCTCAGACCGTATATCAAGGGACTGAGCTGTCTGTGTCTGAGTTGACTCAAAAGCAGTCCCTCCTCTTCTCACCTCTGGCCGTATGTCAAGGGACTGAGCGGTCTTCTCCTTGGGAATGGTCCGGAACACAGGAATCTGCACTGCTGCTGCTGCTGCTGCACTCGAGTCTTCAGGTGCTGCCTCAGGTGATTCTTCAGGTGCTGCTGGCAGCTGGTAATCGCCAAAGACAAGAGAGAGGAACGCAGCTACAGTACTCTCCGATACGCCGTCCCTTCAGTGGGAAGACATGGGGGGAGATGGGGTGAGATGGGGTGAGATGGGGTGAGATGGGGTGAGATGGGGTGAGATGGGGAGAGATGGGGTGAGATCGGCAAAAGCGGGTTTTCCAGTCGGACTCATCAGTCATGTGGTGGGCATGTGTGAACCAATCAGTCAGACTCATCACTTGTGTGGTGTGCTGCAGGCGTGAACCAATCAGTCAGACTCATCACTTGTGTGGTGTGCTGCAGGCGTGAACCAATCAGTCAGACTCATCACTTGTGTGGTGTGCTGCAGGTGTGAACCAATCAGTCACTCATCACTTGTGTGGTGTGCTGCAGGCGTGAACCAATCAGTCAGACTCATCACTTGTGTGGTGTGCTGCAGGTGTGAACCAATCAGTCAGACTCATCACTTGTGTGGTGTGCTGCAGGTGTGAACCAATCAGTCACTCATCACTTGTGTGGTGTGCTGCAGGCGTGAACCAATCAGTCAGACTCATCACTTGTGTGGTGTGCTGCAGGTGTGAACCAATCAGTCACTCATCACTTGTGTGGTGTGCTGCAGGCGTGAACCAATCAGTCAGACTCATCACTTGTGTGGTGTGCTGCAGGCGTGAACCAATCAGTCAGACTCATCACTTGTGTGGTGTGCTGCAGGCGTGAACCAATCAGTCAGACTCATAACTTGTGTGGTGTGCTGCAGGTGTGAACCAATCAGTCAGACTCATCACTTGTGTGGTGTGCTGCAGGTGTGAACCAATCAGTCAGACTCATCACTTGTGTGGTGTGCTGCAGGCGTGAACCAATCAGTCAGACTCATAACTTGTGTGGTGTGCTGCAGGTGTGAACCAATCAGTCAGACTCATCACTTGTGTGGTGTGCTGCAGGCGTGAACCAATCAGTCAGACTCATAACTTGTGTGGTGTGCTGCAGGCGTGAACCAATCAGTCAGACTCATCACTTGTGTGGTGTGCTGCAGGCGTGAACCAATCAGTCAGACTCATAACTTGTGTGGTGTGCTGCAGGTGTGAACCAATCAGTCAGACTCATCACTTGTGTGGTGTGCTGCAGGCGTGAACCAATCAGTCAGACTCATCACTTGTGTGGTGTGCTGCAGGCGTGAACCAATCAGTCAGACTCATCACTTGTGTGGTGTGCTGCAGGCGTGAACCAATCAGTCAGACTCATCACTTGTGTGGTGTGCTGCAGGCGTGAACCAATCAGTCAGACTCATCACTTGTGTGGTGTGCTGCAGGCGTGAACCAATCAGTCAGACTCATCACTTGTGTGGTGTGCTGCAGGCGTGAACCAATCAGTCAGACTCATCACTTGTGTGGTGTGCTGCAGGCGTGAACCAATCAGTCAGACTCATCACTTGTGTGGTGTGCTGCAGGCGTGAACCAATCAGTCAGACTCATCACTTGTGTGGTGTGCTGCAGGCGTGAACCAATCAGTCACTCATCACTTGTGTGGTGTGCTGCAGGCGTGAACCAATCAGTCAGACTCATCACTTGTGTGGTGTGCTGCAGGCGTGAACCAATCAGTCAGACTCATCACTTGTGTGGTGTGCTGCAGGCGTGAACCAATCAGTCGGACTCATCACTTGTGTGGTGTGCAGGCGTGAACCAATCAGTCAGACTCATCACTTGTGTGGTGTGCAGGCGTGAACCAATCAGTCGGACTCATCACTTGTGTGGTGTGCTGCAGGCGTGAACCAATCAGTCGGACTCATCACTTGTGTGGTGTGCAGGCGTGAACCAATCAAGGAAGAGTGTGCAAGGACAAGAAACATGTGCCTGCTGTAGTGAAGTGGTGTAGTGCCCTGTGTACAGACAAGAAGCATGTGCGCCGTATGTAGTGAAGTGGTGAACAGACAGTGTGTGTGTTGTGCCCTGTGTACAGACAGAAGAGGGAAGGGGTGCTGGAGGAAGGGGTGCTAGAGGAAGCACTACAAACGGCCAACAAGCGCTCAAAACGCTCGTGAAGAAAGTCTTTCGAACGAGCAAAATCACGGAGTGATAGTAACGAGTGTGCTAGTAACAAATGTGCTAGTAACGAGTGCGCAGCTCACGAGTGTGCAAGGCTGCGCAGGCGAAGGTAGCAGGGCCGGTCCACAAAGAGATGGCAGAAGGCTGGCTGGCCGTTGCGCCCCGCACGACCTATCTCCTGAAAGAAGGGGTGGAGAGGGGTGGAGAGGGGTGGAGAGGGGTGGAGAGGGGTGAGTTGGGTGGGGAGGAGTTTGGCTGAATTCCTCTCTCGTCTTATTCCCTCGTTTTCTAACTTTCGTGTTGTGTAGTGTACTCATGTGCTGTGACGAACCTTTCAATACCGCATCACACCACATCGCACCGCACCACACCGCATCACACCGCATTGCATCGCACCTGCACATATTGCTCTGGACTGCGAGGAAGGGAGTAGTGCACAACCTGATTGGGGCGATTGGGATGAGAGGGAAGGGAAGCCGATTGGAAGGGCAACGGGGAAGGAATAATCGGGCTGAATGGAAGGTGGGATGAGAAATGGACACGAATTGACACTCGAATTGGCACACAAGATGACACACCAAATGGAATCTGAGTGGGAAAGCCACGAAGCACAGAAGGGACAAACCCGTCGGCAATGACGTTGAAAGCAAGGTATTTCCATAACCTCAGCATTCTTCACACTATCCTCCCACCCACTCTCCAATAGCCCCAGCAGCCAACTCACCGCACCAACGTCAGCCTTGTCCAAGCCCATGCCAAATGCCAGAGTCGCCACTACCTGCACAGGAACCACCAGGTTGGAAATGGTCCATTTTCAAGAGCCTGCATTTTCCGATCAGTACACCCAGGTTGAGATTCGTCCTTGACTTAATGATACCTTTCACAATACTTGCTATTTCAAAGGTACAGTCAGGCACCCTTTTCTGGGAATTGCAGCATCAGGCGTACCACTATGAGCTTCGGAGCCTATTGGCTGTGAAGCGCGGTGAATGCAAGCCAGGTACTCTCATGCTACTAAGCCTCAAATGGCACCCCAAAAAGACACTGCAGGTAGGCCGCAGCATACCACTCTCAGCTTTTTGGCTGTGAAGCGTGGTGAATGTAAGCCGGGTACTACTATTCTCATGCTACTAAGCCTCAAATGGCTGGCACTCCGAAAGAACACCGCAGCATACCACTCTCAGCTTGTTGGCTGTGAAGCGCTGAAGAATTCGAGTCCTCTCACCCGCGTCTAGGCCTCCGTGGTAGCTCTGACAATGGAAACACACACGGCAAGAGACATTCAAACGGGATGAGCAGGAAGGATTGTGACAAAGATTGTTACAGTGAAGGAAAGATCCAGGTCAGTGAAGGAAAGCTTGTTACTAAGGATTGTGACAAAGATTGTTAAGATTGTGTACAAGGTGCAATGTCAGAGAGGCAGAGTGGGCAAGAGAGCGCATGTGAATGAGGCAGATTGAATGTTGGTCGTTGCACCGGAATGTAGACTGCGCTGGCAGCTGCAGGGGTCAGAGCAGGGCAAAATAGGCATGTCTGACTGATGTGGGCATGTGCTGGTTGAGTGTGATTCCAGGAGTGTGATTGCTGCAATGTGGCTGTAAGGAGAGTGGTTGTAAGGAGAGTGGTTGTAAGGAGAGTGGCTGTAAGGAGAGTGGCTGTAAGGAGAGTGGTTGTAAGGAGAGTGGTTGTAAGGAGGATGGTTGTAAGGAGAGTGGCTGTAAGGAGAGTGGTTATAAGGAGAGTGGTTATTAGGAGAGTGGTTGCTAGGAGAGTGGTTGTAAGAAGTGTGGTTGTTAGGAGAGTGGCTGTAAGGAGAGTGGTTGTTAGGAGAGTGGCTGTAAGGAGAGTGATTGTAAGGAGAGTGGTTGTGAGGAGAGTGGTTGTTAAAAGAGTGGTTGTTAGGAGAGTGGTAGTAAGGAGAGTGGTTGTTAGGAGAGTGGCTGTAAGGAGAGTGGTTGTTACGAGAGTGGCTGTAAGGAGAGTGGTTGTTACGAGAGTGGCTGTAAGGAGAGTGGTTGTTAGGAGAATGGCTGTAAGGAGAGTGGTTGTTAGGAGCTGACTCACCCGAGCCGCAATCCGGTTGTCGCGAAGAACGCGTGCCACGTCATCAGCCTCCCACTGGCAGCCCACGGAACAGATTGACGGAACACAAAGGAGATGGAAGCACTCTATTTTAGGCGGCTAAAAAACCAGCCTCATTGGCAGCCCGTGGAACAGAGAGACGGATATACCAAGGAGATGGAAACACCATGTCACTGTGAGAGGGTCATCTAGAGAGGGAGAGAGACAAGTGCATGTCTGCCGACAGATGTCGCTGGCAAGAAATAGTTTGACGAAGGAACGTGAGGGACACTCGCAAGCCTGATAATGGTACGAGGCCTAGATGCTAAGGCGCAGACCCTCATGGGTCTTAGGCGATATGCATTGGCGTGCAAGGGGGATGTTGAGGGCGGTGCAGCAGAGAGAGAAACGAGAGAGAGTGAGGTGTGTGGAGGAACCATGTGTACAAACAAACCTGCAACGAACCGCAGAGTTGAGAGTTGTTTACTGCAAGCAGCTGTTTGGAAAAGTATTGTTAACCTGGAAGGAGCAGTAGACGATGATGCTGCGAGCAGAAGCAAAGGGTGCTGAGCTCAGCAGATCCACAAGCTCTCGCTGCCGGCTCTGCCCTGCTGCTGGCCCGCCCCTTGGTCCCTTCGATAGAGTGACATCTGCCCCCCACTTGCTCTCTCCCACTGCATGCCCATGCCCAGGCCCATGCCCAAGCCCGGCCCCAGGCCCTTTGGCTCCGGTTAGTGAGACCGATAGGTGCAGGTTCGGCCGCACCACTCCACGCCGGATCACGCCGCCCGGCGGGATTCCCAGGGCTGAGGTCAGCGATGATGTGGCGAGGCGGGTGGCGGTGGCGGTGATGGCGAGGATGCACGGCCTGTGGGTGATGGTGCTTGTGCTGCTGCTGGCGCTGGCACTGGCGTGATCAGTAGTGTCAGAAGTATCAGTAGTATCAGCAGTATCAGCAGTCCTGCTGTTTGATGCCTCCTCTTCAGCATCGGCTGGGGAGTGCGTCTCCAACAGGCCGCTGGAGAGGAGGATGGAGGAGAGGCGCAGGTAGGCCGAGCGGAAGTTGTGTGACCTGCAGGGGGAGGAGGAGGGTTAGAGAGGGGCAGTCAGGAATGCTTGGGGGTGGCTCACTGCTTTGGAAAGTGTGGGGTTTTGGAGGGGCGATTGACGGAGGTAGGCTGGGCGAAAGCTGTGCGACCTGCAGGGGAAACAGTTTCAAGAGGTTCCAAGAGGTTCCAAGAGGTTCCAAGAGCATCTGGGGGGTCTGAAGTAGAAAGAGACCGATGCTCTCGTTTAAGACAGAGTTGTTTTTTGGAAACGTTTTGAAATAAGCTGGTCAAAAGAGATCAGGGGCACTCTGCCTTGTTCGGAACAGGAGGAGGAAGGACCACCTACCCACGCCCGTACTTCCCATTCCCTACTCACCAGCTATTCAGCCACCTACAGGCTACACACCTACAAACATACCCACACTCCCCTCTCTCTCACCACTCGGATATGCAATGGGCTTCATCAAACACCACCAGGGACACGCCCTGGGGCAGACAGGAGAGGAGGTGGAGGAAGGACGGTCGCCTCCCCACTTCCTGTCTACCTGCCTATCCAACTCCCCTCCATCAATCCGTGCACTCACCACTCGGAAACACAGTGAGCTTCATCAACACCACCAGGGACACGCCCTGGGGCAGACAGGAGAGGAAAACACCCGTCCACCCACACACCCACCCACTCGCAAAGCTAGCTACAGGCACCACTCACCACTCGGATATGCAGTGGCCTCATCAAACAGGACCAAAGGTACGCCCTGGGGCAGGCAGGAGTGGAGGTGGAGGAAGGACTGTCGCCTCCCTACCTACCCCCCTTCCTATCCGCCGCCCCTCCATCCATCCGTGCGCTCCCCACTCCCCACTCACCACTCCCCATTCCCCACTCCCCACTCCCCACTCCCCACTCGGATATGCAGTGGGTCTCATCAAACACCACCAGGGACACGCCCTGGGGCAGGCACGAGAGCAAACACACCCACCCACACCACACATACCCACTCACCTACACACCCACACATCCACACAGAAGCTAGCTACAGGCACCACTCACCACTCGGAAATGCAGTGCGCCTCGTCGAACACCACCAGGGACACCCCCTGGGGCAGACACGAGAGCAGGCGGAGGAAGGACGGCACTGCCAGGCGCTCGGGAGACACAAAGAGCACCCTGACGTCCCCCCTTCGTAGCCTCTCTATCACTGCACCGCTCTCCGCTGGTGACTGGGATGAGGGGAGAGGGGACGCCGGGGAGCAAGGGGAGGAGTGGGAGACACAAAGAGCACCCTGATGTCCCCACTTCGTAGCCTCTCTTTCACTGCACCGCACCGCTCTCCACCGGTGACTGCAAGGAGGGTGAGAAAGCCAAGAACAGGAGGAGGAGCTGGGAGACACGTTGACCACCCTGTTGATTCTGGCCTCTTCTTCTCTCTGTGTACATCTCTGTGTACAGTGCACCACCCAAGTATTCTTAACCCTAAACACTCCTACTACCGCCTGTGCGAAGCCCAATAAGTTCAGCTTGAAAATGCATTAAAAACGCATGCAAAACCGTGCATAACAAGTATACCGCCTGTGTCTGTAGGTTAGAGAGAAGGAGAGAGGCACGCACCTGGAAGGACGAGAGGCACAAACCTGGAAGGACGAGAGCAGGCCGCCAGGCAGGCAGGGCGGCAGGTGGGCGAGCTGGTCCTGCATGAGCGCCACTAGTGGGCTGACGACCAGAGTCAATCCGGGAAGGAGGAAGGCTGGGAGCTGTGAGGAAGAAGGGGGGGCGAAGGGGGGGAAAGCACAAGGCAGGGCGGCAGGTGGGCCAGCTGGTCCTGCATGAGAGCCCTCGGCGGCGACCCAAACGACGTCAGGCAGAGCGCACCTAAGGAGTCTAGTATGGTTGCAGAGAGATCCATAATAAGTCAACAGAGGCTACTATCGCGTAACAGAAAAATCCATCTGACTGATAATAAAGACAACCGCTAGCGTAACACCTACCTGGTAACAGTAACGCCCAACTAGTAACAGTAGCGCCTACCTGGTAACAGCTGCATTTTTTGGGAAATGGCTACCTGGTAGCAGAGGGACTTCCCAGCGCCAGTTGGCAGCACGAGGAGCGTTGATTGGCCTCGCAGCAACCGTTGGATGGCCACCACCTGTCCATCTCGAAACTTATCAAAGCCAAACACATGCTGCAACACCCACAGCAGATTGCTCTCTGAAGGTTCCCTCTGGGCCCTCTCAACCATTCGAGCCCTCTCAACCATTCGAGCCCTCTCAGTCGCCCCCTCCTCCTCCTCCCCTTCCCCCCTTGCGCCCTTCTTCTTGCGCCCTTGCCCCTTGCCCTCTGTGCCTTTCTCCTGTCCCAGACCGTCTCCCTCTTCCACCTCCTCTACCTCCTCTACTTCCTCTTCCTCCTCTCCCTCATCCTCTATCCCTTCTTGCCTCCCCTTCCCTTCCTCCTCGCTTCCCCCCACCTCCTTTCCAACCTCTCCCCCCTTCCTGCCCCCCCCATTCTCCCCAATTGCCCCTTCCACATCCCCCACTCCTCCTTTCCGCTCTTCTCCCCCCCCTAACCCCATCACCGCACCATCATCCATCCAGTCACCTAAGCCCATACCACACTCTCCCCCTCCTCCCTCCCCCAAAACCCCTCCCTTCCCCCTCTTCCCCCCTTTCCTGTAAAACGTCTTCCTCCTCCCCCCTCCATACCCACCACCGAACCTCCCACCGCACCTACTCCCACCGCCGGACCTGCTGCCGAACCTGCTGGTCTTGGTACCGTTCCCGAACCTCTTCTTGCATCCCCTGCCATTGATATTGAGGCGCACAAAGTTGTCCCTCCCTTGCAGCCCGGGGCGGCCCCTGGCACTCCTGCTACTGGTAAGACCATACCCTGCACGTGTTGCACCCCCACCAGTAGCACCTGCACCGGCTACACCTGCACCGGCAGCAGCAGCCACCTTCCTCTGTTTCCTCCTCTGTGTTTCCTTCTGCCTCAGGGCTTGCAAAGCCCTGGGATTACCCCACCCATACTCCGCTGCTGTACTGCCCGCTCCACCTGTGGCAGCAGCAGCAGCAGCAGCGGCAGGAGTAGCACCAGCAGCAGCAGGAGTAGCAGCAGCAGCAGCAGCACCCCCAACAACAGCGGCATCACCACTCTGTTCATTCTTCGGTTTTCGATCCTCTCGTTTCTGTCCCGTCTCTTGTCTTCTCCCACCAACTCCCCCCTTCGCTTTGCGTGCGTTACACCGAGCCTTACCCGAACCTCTGCCCTCACGTGTGACTGTATTCACTGTAACTGTCTTGTTTGTGACCCTGCACCTTTCCTCCTCCTCCCCCCCCTTCTCCTCCTCCTCTCCCACCCCCTCCTCCTCACTCTCGCTACTGCTGCTCACCCCCCTTCTCTCCTCTGCCCAATCCGAACCACTCTCACTCCCGCTCTCCCCCTCACTCTCCTCACTCGCATCCTCACTCCTCTCCTTCCCTTCACTCCCACTCCCCCTCTCCCCCTCCTCCTTCGCTCCTCGTTCATCCTCCTTCGCCCCATCCTTCGCCCCTTGCTCCCTTTCCCTCAACGAATCCCTTGCTACCCGAGCAGCTAGACGTGTGACCCTCGTCCCAGCCGTCTTTCCCGGCCCATCCCTGCATTCCCTACCATGGGAGCCTGCGAGTGCCGTCGTCTCGCCAACCCGTTGCATTGTTTTCGCATCTCCTTCAGTAGGGCGCCTCATTGGGTCCCTTTTACTGCTATCAACGCCAGCACCAGCATCACCACCATCCCCATCAACAACCCCATCACCATCATCACCACCACCATCACCATCACCATCACCACCACCATCACCATCATCATCATCACCACCATCATCATCATCATGACCATCAGTATCACCCTCTGGAGCTCTGACTCGTCGCCTCCCCTTCACCCTCACCACCTGCCTCCTCCGCTGCCCCCCTGCCCTCCCCATACCTCTCCCACCCTTGTTTCTTCGACACTTTCTCCCACCCATACTCCTCTCACCCACACTCACCTCCCCCACACTTTTCTCGCCCACACTTCTTTCCCCAGTCACACACCCACCAGCCTCTGCTAGTCGGCTCACCAGCTCTGCCTTTCTGCCAGACGTCCGCAGCCCATTGGCCAGGAGGGCGGCCCTCAGCTGCATCACTGTCATGCGGTTCACATCAGCTGCTTCTGATGCTTCTGATGCTGCTGCTGCTGCTGGAGGTGATGGTGGTGATGCCGCTGGTGGTGGTGGTGGTGGTACTGCTGCTGCTGCTGCTGGAGGTGATGGTGGTGGTGCCGCTGGTGGCGGTGGTGCTGCTGCTGCTGCTGCTGCTGCTGCTGCTGCTGCTGCTGCTGCTGCTGCTGGGTCTGCTGCTGCTGGTTCTGCTGCTGACGGTGGCGGCTGTGCGAGTGCTGTTGGTGCTTCCATTGCTCCTGATGGTGTTGGTACTGCTGCTGCTAGACCTGGCGCTGCTGCTGCTGTGGGTGGTCCTTCATTCAACTCTTCTGCTTCTGGCATAGCTTCGCCTCGCAATTCACCTGCTCCTGCGCTTAATGCGGCACCTTCTGCACCGTCTGCCCATTCGGCACCTTCTGCCCGTTCTGCAGCTCTTACTGGTGGCTTTGAGCAAAGCCCTCTTGGATTCACTGCTTCTTCTGCGGCTTCAGCATCCACCAATCGTGTTACATCCACGTCAGCACTTCCCTGCAACACGTCAGCCCCTCTCTGTGCCACATCAGCTTCCCTTAGCGCCGCCTCAGCTGCTACAGGTTCCATGTCAGCCGTCTCCTGCAGCCAACCCCCACATGCCAACTCAGCAGCTCTGCATTCAGCTCCCCACCTCCCTCCCCCTCTACCTATCCTCGTTACAAGCAGGCTCGAGGGCGCAACACAGCCAAGCATGCCCACAGGACGAACAGGGACCGCAGTTGGTCCAAAGTAACCCATCCCTGCTTCGTCACCTGCCCCTGCCTCTCCTTCCCCTCTCGCCCACACACCACCCCCACCATCCCCACCATCCCCACCAGCCGCACCACCCCCACCACCCCCACCACCCCCACCATCCTCACCACCATCCACTCTCCCCACCTCCTCGCCCCGGTTCAACCTTCCCCTCTCGCTTCCCCCCACCTGCTGCTCTGCCCGCCCCCTCCGCCCCCCGCCCAGCCCCTCCTGTCCGCACTGCCCCTGCACCCTCTGTGCCTCACCCTCTGACAGCTGCTTCTCACCCGCACAACCTGCAGCACCTGCTGGTACTGGCGCCTGCGCTCGCTCCGTTGATGGTAACCCTAACCCGGCTCCTTGTAACCCTCCCCTTCCTGCACCCCCCACCCCTCCTCCCCCTCCGCCGCACACAACAAGACTGAACTGCCTGCTGCTCTGCCACACTCCTAGGTCCGACAGAGGGGCAGATAGGTCTATCCGGGAGTTAGAGGCCAGCCTGGCTTTGCCCGAACGCTCTCCATCCTCCCTATTGGATTTCCTGTTACCAATTCTATCATCCTCTTGTACATCCTTGACACCGTTCCGTCTCTGCTCTGCCTTGCCCTCTCTGCCACCCCGTTGTTGCCTTGCCCTCTCCAGACATTCAACAGCAACAGCAGCTTCGATACCGGCACCTTCGATAGTAGCACATTTAGCAGTAGCGCCACCAGCAGCGGCACCTTCATGGCTCCTCTTCCGCTTTCTCCTCTCCCGTTCCTTCAGCCGAGCGTACTTCCCATACAGCTCAACTGCCACAAGCACGACTTGTCCGGATAATAAGGAGCAGCTCACCTACGTGTCGCCTAGTAGCAGAAAAAGTTAGGATCATAGGAAATGGCGACGAGGGTATTAGGGAGCGGCTCACCTACGCCCGGATCGCCCTCCACGTCAGCGCGCGACGGAGCGCGGCCGTGCGACGCGGCGAATCCCCGCTCCCATTCCTTCAGCCGCCGTCGAATCCGCTCTACCTCGCCAGCCTCGCCATTAGCCGCACCGCTGACACTAGCACCCCTTTCCTCGCGTGCTTCCTTCAGCCGCCGTCGAATCCGCTCCACCTCGCCGGCGGGTTCGCCGATAACCGTACTACTAGTCCACCTTTCCTCGCCGCGTTCCTCGCTGCGTTCCTCGCCGCGTTCCTGCTGCCCGTTGATGTTTCCGCCTGCCCGTTCAGCGCTCCCTCTCGCTTTATCTTGCCCTCCGTTGCCTCGCTCAAGCGGATCGCCTCTCTGAATGGGTTCCTTTCCCGCTCCCAACCCCTGCTGTCTAGGACTCATTTCTCCAATGTTCACACTTGCAGGAACACAGCGACGGGACGTTCTCATAAGAGGTTGTGCCTGTATCGCGGCCAATATCAGGTATACTAGCTCCAGCCGCGGAATCAGCTCACGCAAACAGAGCCATCTAATTCGGTCTTTTTAGGCTATACGGAATGGCGTGGACCAGCTAAACACTTATCCGGGTAACGTTAAGAGAATATCTTAGAGAATATCCTAAAGCTCCATGCTTGCTCGCCGGCTCAGGGACATTACAGGCGTGAACACGAGATTGAGGATGGTTAGGGTTATGGGTTGGTACGAAGAGCAAGGTGGTTTCCAGAGGCAGCCTGGCAGGTATGGAAGAATTTCTGGGAGGCTTGTAGGCGTGCTTGGAAATTCAAAATTTGAAACTGGAGGTCGTGGCAGAATGGATTTGGCGGGAAGTATCTGATTGAGTGATGCAGCATTAAATTCGTTATACTGGTAGCAACATGTTCCTCCATGTTAGTATTACCGACTGTAAGAAGATGGTAGTTCCTTATCGCGGGTTTTAGTTAGTAAGGCATACACTGCTATAACGGGGTTGCTGCGCAGCTCTGCCACAAAATTCAAATCGCGGTACCCAAATGTGGTCTCCTGACGATCCGCATGCATTTTGCCCCCCTTGCTGTTTTATGTCTAGATCTGGGCGCTTCACGCTAATTTACAAACCTCAGCTCTACCGAGCCTCGACCGTGTGCTCTAGGATATCTATATCCAGGCTCCCTGCTGTTTTGATGTGCCCTCATTGTATTGTTTCCCTCGCTACTCAACTATTCGTTACACGCTCTTAGCACTTCATTACACCGACCCTCGCCCCAAATGATATCCGAGTCGCCTTTCAACGTCAATATTCTCAGCAAATATAGTCTGAATAGAAAAAAAAAAACATTCTACATCTTCCTTTGAATGAGGGATTAAATATGATAGACATTATATATATGATGAATATACTTGTGTGCTAGAGAAGTTGCTTCGTGCTGGTGGACGTTATTGAAAATCAACGAAGTGCACTTCGGCTATTTGTGGATTCCACTTCGGCTATTTCGAAGTTCGAAAATTCAGGCACTTTGGAATGGGGTTTCCCATACTCAAACTCATTTTAAACTTCATTGGATCAGCCGCGACATCATCCCTAGACTTTCTAGTGTACACGCGATGTTTAGGGGGCGATGTTCGGTATGAGTTCGGTATTTTAAATTCAAGTTTTCCTGGAAGCATCAATCACGAGCTTTGCTCGACACAAGTGATGAGCTACTCACCGAACTATCAATCCACCAGGACAAACTGAGTGCTTAATATACACCTAAATGCCTTAATATGCACCTACGCACAGGTACGTGCACCTAGGCTCACCTATGCCTGAACCTGGCCCCACGCCAATGCATGAAGAGTGGAGGCTACTTCGGAGAGGAAAAACTAGAAACCTATGAGACGTTGATAACAGTTATAAAGAGCAGTTTGCCCAAGGTGGGATCGACCTCCACGTCATCGCGCAACGGAGCGCGGCTGTGCGTTGCAGCAAATTCCCGCTCCCACTCCTTCAGTCACCGTCGCAGCCTCTCCACCTTGTCGGATTCGCCGGACTCGCCATTGTCCATACCATTAATTGTACCACCGTTCTTTTCCCTCTCCTCATGTGCGTCTTTGTCCATCTAACACCCCTTTCTTCCCCCTGCTCATGTGCTTCCTCTGTCCGTCTAGCACCCCTTTCTTCCCTCTCCTCATGTGCTTCCTTCGTCCACCTACCACCCCTTTCTTCCCTCTTCTCATGTTCTCCCTTTACCCGTCTAGCACCCATTTTTTCCCTCTGCTCGCGTGCTTTCACTGCCCATCTAGCACCCATTTCTTCCCTCTCCTCATGTGCCTCCTTCGTCCAACTAGCACCCCCTTCCCCCCGCTCCCATTCCTTCAGCCGTCATTAAAGCCGCTCCATCTCATAGGAATCGCCGCCATGAGCTTTACTGGTACGCCTTTTGTTCCCTCTCTGGTTGGGATTGTCAGGTGCAAGACAATACCTTACGCCCATCAGAAAAACGGGGTCAATGAGTGGACGAACAGAGTGCTGCAAGAGAAGATGTGCGTGCTTCTGCAATATTCCAACCTGCCAGCTGATTTTTGGCTGTCTGCGATAACGCAAACTATCAAAATGCACAAGTTCTTCTCATCTACTGTCTTACCTCACTTCAGTTCGCCACATGTCATGTGGACAAAGCAGCCTGTCGACACAAGAATTTATGAGTCTTGGGCTGCATGGTCCACTATCGTCCTCCAAGCGCAATTGCAGGCAAATTCACTGAACGGGCTCGATGGGGAATACACCTTGGTGTACCAAAGGATTCCTACGCTTGGATAATCATGGATTACGAAGCTTGCAAATTTATGTATGCCCGTGATTGCATTCTCTATGAGAAACCTTTACTTGATGACTTCGAAACGGAACAAGGAGCGCCAGCAGTGAGATCCCGATTGCTACAGTGTCGAAAGAAGTTTCGCCACCCCTCAAGACGAAACTGATGTAGTGGAAGAATATTATCCGCTTGCTAGCACAGCAGCTGAACCTTTTACTGCCCCATAGCCTTCCACATCAACAGTTGAACCTGGTCCTTTGTTACGTGAAGAACCCCTGTTCGAGTCCTACATTCCTGAATCATATGCCTCCACCACAAAACCCCGTTATTCATTCCACTCTCGGACCCATTGCGACCACCAGCTATGCCACATGCTGCCTATAATCACGAAGACCATCTACGAAGACAAAAAGCAGTCGCAGCATTACATGACGGTGTGCGCCACCTGCCATCCGAAATTGACGATGATGACGTCATTGAAGTTGGCAGCCAACCACATCCACATGGTGACCAATCGGCTCTTCAAATCCTCGGGCTCACTGTCACCCTTCAACAACCAACGGCCGGGATTGAGTAAAAAATATTCAAGCAGACCCTTTGTGACCCTGATATAGCCCAGTGGCTAGCAGTAATGGATGCAAAGGTAGCCGCTCTCGAGAAGCGGAAAACGTGGAAACTGGTTCCACGTGCACTAGCGCACGACAAGAAGCTTCTTTTGGGCAAGTGGGTTTTTCGCATCAAGACAAATGCAGCAGGCGAAGCAGACAGATTCAAAGGGAGATGGGTTGCTCAGGGATTTGAACTAACCCATTGTATCGACGATCGGACTTTTGCTCCGGTCAGTCGCCATACCCCTGTTAGAATTCTTCGCACCTAAGTCACCAGTCGCCACCGCCCCCTTCGTCAATTGGATGTTAGAAATGTATTTCTATATGCAGATGTCAATGCATACATCTATGTTGAAGTACCCCACACACACTTATGGCGACGAAATTCACATCCGCAAACTGCTCAAAGCTCTCTACGACATCAAACATGCTCCTCGCTGTGGAAGCAGCATACCACCAAGTTCTTATCTCACTTGACTTCGAGCAGCTGCCCCATGATCTTGGGATGTACAAACTCGAATATCGGGGAAACTACATGCCTCTAGTCACCTATGTGGACGACTTATTGTACACCGGCTCGTGCAACCGTCTCCTCGCTCACATGGAGAACAAATCCAAGAGATTCTCGACGCTACTATTTTTCCCAATGTTACTCAATTTCTTGGGTTAAACGTCGACTGGGCCCCGACGCCATCTACCTCTCTGCAAGCAAGTATCTCGAAACACTTGCAAAAACCTTTTCCATCGCTCGCATCGGCGTCACTACCGATTTTCATCACATTCTGCCCAGCCACACACCAAATACTACCCCACTTACCACCTCCGAGCATCGACTTTACCATCACCAGCTCGGGTGCCTATTATTTGCAGCCTTTACCTTCCAAACATATATTGCTTACCTCACTAGTTAGCTCCCATAGTACTTGCGTTGATCTAAATGGGAGGATATGGCCGATCTTCGCCGAGCCCTTCAATGTTTCATTTCGACACCTACTATCGGTCTCAGCTACACGACAACCACTACAACAAACTTTGGACTGACTGGATATGTTGACGCAGATCACACTGCTGACCCGGACAACAAGCGTTCGTGTACAAGTTTAATCTTCAAGCTTGAACCGGGTGGTGTCATTTCGTGGAATTCAACGAAACAGGAGGTTATCACACTTTTGTCAGCCGAAGCAGAATTCATATCGCTCTACTATTCACAAAGGCGTGACCTATAAAAGTTGCTTGAAGTGGCGAAAATTGCAACGACCCGAAACTTCAAGTTATTGTGTAACAATCAGAGCGCAATCAAGATTGCATACAAGCCCAGCTTCGTCAACAGACATCATACACATCGCCCACCGATACTTCTTCGTCAAGGACAAAATTGACAAAAGGAAGGTCGTCCCGAAGTACTGCCCTACAGAAGAAATGGCAGCCGATTTCCTCAAGAAGAAAATCCCATGAGGCAAGTTTCAATACTTCTCCAACTTGGTCGGAGATCGCAAACGAGTCTATGCCTAATCAGAAACATACACTCAAGAATGAAGGGGAATGTTGAAGTATACTCAACAGGATTATGGTTTTAAGCATTCCTGATACTATTTATTTGCACGATATCTCCTATGGAAGGACGTGCGTGATGACTTCAGGCAATAACGAGTCAACGCGTGTACAGTAGGTATGTGCGTATAGTAGGTTTGCGCGTATAGTCACCCGAAGGGTCACGCCACTCGCAGTCACACGAACAATCACTAGACAAGTCATATGAATAGTCACGTTTATCTAAGAACATGTGCAATCTAAATAGGTACTTCCTAAGCTATAAATATACCAGTGAAATCCATTTTCATTGTCCTAGTTATTTCTATTTTTTCTTTTGCAAGATGTAGAGTCTTCCGCTGGCTTTTACTACTCTTCCGTTCCATCAACTCTAGATCTTGACCACCCTAAATAAGTGGTAGGTTCCTAGAGTTGCCTCTTTGAACCTGCACTTCCTCATGCATTGGTGGGGACCATGTTTAGGGCAGAGGGGCGTGGGTGAGCCTAGGTGAGCCTAAGTGCATGTAGGTTCACACACGTGTGAGAAGAAAGGGATGGAAAGAAGGATGTATAGAAGGGTGCCACAATGGGTAATAGGAAGTCCAATACGGAGGATGGAGAGTGCTTGGGTAAAACCAGCCGGGCGTTTACCTCTCGATAAACCTATCCACCCCTCTCTCATATCTAGGAGTGTGGCAGCGTAGTAGGCAATTCAGCCTTGAATGTGGCGGAGAGGGGGGAGGGGTGGGGGGAGTAGGAAGGGGAGGGTTGCAAGGAGCAGGGTGAGGGTTAAAAGGAGCAAGATTAGGG